AGCAGCATTTGTTGACATTTGTTGTCATTCAACCTGTTGTACATCTTAAAGTATTTATCTCATACCCAAAAACAACATTGGCGTTTGTATAGAAACCCAGTTTGATCAAAAACAAAGCCCTAATAGGCAGCTTCCTATAGCAGAAGACTGCTGAATCAATGTAAGCTGTCACTTTGTTTTTTGAACAGCCTATGTCATTATCTAAAGCATAGACAATATCCAATCTTATATATCTCAGAATAAAAAGCAACACTGGGTTTATGCACATTGTACACGCATTCCTGTAACTGTTTTTGTGTTGTTATGGGTCATATTTTCATCTTGATCTACAAAGTAACCCACAACACCTCTATCAACCATTGAACCGCAAAATACTATACATCCTTATTAGTTCTGTAGCCGCTTGTCTTTAGACGGATGTTGTACACACAGCAGTGGCTACTGCAGTTCATGATTAGTCTTACGCATATGTTATAACTATACAAATTTGAAAAACAGGCTACACAAATCAAATGTTTTGAAACTCAGCACAATACCACCATAATAAACTAGAATCAGCCCCACATCACATATACCGCATAGATGGATAAAACTGCCTTTCAGCTTTTTCCACAATCCTTAAAAGAAATCCAGTCAATTAAAAATGTTTTACTTCTGAAAAAATTCAAATGAATACAACCATATTCCACTTCACTACACTGCATTAGAATGTAAACACATCAACCAACATCTATTTTTGTGGTTTCAGTTATAGAAATTAACTGTCGACAACTGACATTTACTCCACTGGTTGAAATTAAGTGATTTTTGTTATAGATATTTGGTTGGTTGCTACCAAATTTCCTCAGTGCATCTATGTAACTTCAGCCTCTGAAATAACTACTACTTTACTACTTGGCTGTACTTATATCTGAGGGTAACAGGAATGCAGTATGCAGCTGCAGTGTTTCAGTGTTGAAGAGGCGTAGTGCAGTTTGTTTTGAATCTAAACCCATTATAGTCTCAATAACCACTCTCTCACCTCCATCCCTGTCTCTGGCCCGGTGTGTATGGACAGCCTTTGCTCTGCTGTGACCTGTGCCGTCGATGTGTTTGTTTTCAGGGCTGTCAGACCTCCTGAGCATTTTGCAGGGAGGAGTGACATCTGAGGAGTCTCGCATCTTTTCATGTCGGTGGTCGCCTCCTGGATGGCTCTTGGACGAGTATTTGAGAGCCTGTAAACACAAATCAAACACCTCACAACAATCCAATATTTTATACGAAGACTGATTTCCTCCTTGTATCATCATCACAATGTCTCTCAAACCAGTGTCACCCCTTGTTGGGCTGTTCAATGTACCAAAGTGAAAAACGAACTTGCTATGAATATGTTAGTAATTGGTTAGGGGTGCTAATCTTGATTCAAACAGCTATTTATGTATGGTTCCAAAGTAGAAGATTAATATATGTCAATTCGCGTTAGTGCCACAATATCAACTATAGTGAATGCTCACTTAGTAACAATGCACTTATGTATAATGACATTTATTTTATTTATTTTTCGGATTAAGGAAGTAAACAGAAGGTTTTATAAGACAACCTAGTATTCACCTTCGTCATTAGTTATAAACTATATTTTGAATGTAGCGGTTTATACGTGGTTTTGTAGTATTCATTAGGAGCCCCTTTAATGTTTCGGAAGCTTAGCTAGCTATATCCTTAAAATGACAGATTGCGGTCAGGCCCTAATCGGACTGACTAGCAACCAAGCTAACTGTAACAGGCTATCATTAGCTTTGAGCTGCAACTAAACTCGTCTGTACCTTTTCAAAAACAGCTGAATTCGACGAAACATCCAGACTATGTTGTCGTTACCTGGTAATAACCACGTCTGAACGTATTTGCAGCGTTCAGACCGTAATTTCGAACACAATATGTCACTTTTCACGTTATTTTCCGCACTGACTGCGGCCTGTTGTGCTTTCCAGAAGCCTGAACTAGAGTCTCCATTTTAATCTTATTTGCTGCTAGCAAGCTAACAGGCTAAAGTAAGCTAACAAGTACCTGATAGGGCTGAGTATCTCTTCGGTCGCACCTGCAAATAAAAAGAAAGACAGTTGTGAATATAACGCTTTAAATGTCAAATAATATAAATAGTTCTAAGAGCAGCAACAGCTGAACGTCTAAGTTGCTATGCACTTATTTTGGTTTCAGTAAAAATGGCGGATTGTAAAAGCGTAGCTACGAGTTAAAGGAAAATCAGAATAAGTAACGTTAAAAAGATGTTTACCCATCGCCGAGTCTCGGTTGTTTCCTTGCATACATTACCATCAATGCCGTGTTAGTGTGTGTGGAGTGGGATGTGAAAGATTGATAACGGTACTCTATTTTTCTTGTTGATTCGGAGATCTAAAATTGTCAATAATTTCAACCTAGCTTGTGTGTATTTCAATGCTATCAGCAGCACTGGTCGAAAGAGCGCCCTCACTCAGTCCATCTCCCACTCAGACACAGCCGTATCTCTATCTGCCCACAAAACGTAGCAGTGGAGCTGCGCGCTGGGTTGCCAGATATTGTACACTAACCAGTGGGATAACCCCTTTATAAAGCAATAATACCTAGGAAAAGTGTCAAGTAACCATGTAATGTCAAGTAAATAACATGGGGGGTGTTTTCTTGTTGGTTTATACATGAACACGTATTTAATTGCACTCACTTATAACTATTAATGTTACTACAATATTAGCACAAATGCTTAATAAACACTGATATTGTAACAAAAACAAATGGAGGAATAGAGAGTAAGACTCCTATCAGTCTCAAGTGTAAGGATTATGACTTATTCCATTAATGTTCAAGCAAATCGAGCAGTTATGGAATATCAATTAAATAGATTGACAACATTGGGTATTGTACAGACCTGGCAACTTGACTGCAACCCACATCCTCCCCCTTCCGATGGCAACATCCGGGACACACACTAGTTGTTGTGGGGCAGTCCGCTAAAACTCGTATACCTTTTTATTTTTGCTGGATGGATTGTCATTTTTTACCCACAACTGCATTTACAACTGTTTAGAATAAATAACCCAGTTTGCCCATTTCCTACAAAAGCTGTGGATCAAATGTGTTTAGAGCATTAAAGACCTACAGCAGGCAATGATTTGTTCTCTCCTGACATCTAGTGGTTTTATGGTAACAAAGCAAGGAGCATTTATTAAGAGATCAGCATAATCCCTACACAGTGCATCCATAGACTAACAGGCCATCCTAAACATCTGCACATACCCTGGGGCATTAAACACTGGTGAGAGTATTGCAGAGGGAAAATATGCAAATATTATAAAAACATGTGTCATAAAAGATATAAATCATTCAAAAGTATTACAAATAAGTATTTTGGTAAGCAAAGTCTATAATTAGGCCGATGAAATGAAGCATTGTGTGCATGCAGAGTAGTCTCTTCACATTTTTGTGGCCAGGTTGAATTGATGTTTCAGAGTGAGAAGCCTATCTGTCAGAAGAGGGCTGCTGGGCTCCATTGTTCCCAGAAATTTAACCCACATCATATCCCAGGCTGAGGACAAAAGAAGCTGTGGCTCAGCGTTTTGGCACACAACACACTTTAATGTTGGGACAAGGGGGGCACAAAAGGGTGCGCTGCTATTGTTTGCCCATTTCTGGAACTTGTTCACACACAGGCAGATGGAAACACACACACCCTTGTATATGAATTCATGTGTTTGATGCAAATTCTGTTTGATATTTTTAATTCATCAGGTGTCCACTAATTTGTTTGCTGAATTTGAAAAGAAAAATTGTAAGGATTTGTTCCAAGTTTTTATTTATCACATATTGCTGTGAAATGCTCGGTTCTTCCTTCCATTCAATTACTTGACAAATACAAAATATAGAGTACACCTAAGAAGATCAATATTAGCCTATCAGATCATTTTTTTTAAAACGAAATCAACATAATGTGTTTAAATATGAAATATGATATGTAAACAATTATTTTGCTGATATTTAATGTGGTGCAAATATTAGAGGGGAATGTTGGAGGTCAATCTACAGCAGTGTCCTTGTTCAGTGGTCAGTAGGGTCACACACACACTAAAAGTGACTGAAGATACACTTGTCTCAGCTTTTTGAAGACACATTTGATTTATTTTTCAATTCTTTTTTTGTAAAAGAATCGACTCACATTCTTTACATGTGCCTTTTCTGTTGTTTGACTACTTGTTGCAATTGCAGTGTATCTTAAAATGGCCTGTAGGGGGAGCTATCAAACAGTTTAACAAAACTCACCCATGTGATGCTTACTGTACCACTGCTAAATAAGATACCATTTATCAAAACAGTGTTTTGTCGAGTTTAAGTTAATTTAATTATAAATCTAACTAGAATATTGTTTCTCCTAGAACTACATGGCAGCATCAAAAACCCAATGCAAAACATTGATTACATTATTTGTAGATGTTAGTGATTTTACAAGTGTTGTGCAGATATTAAGAAGGCTAAGCTTAATAGATCCTCCAACATATGTGCAATGCTAATATTGATAGAAAATAAAGAATTCAACCCAGTTTAAATTGATGATACAAATGAATTGCCTATATGTAATTATTTTAATAATTAAGGAAAGTTACATATATTATCAGTTAAAAATCGTAACTTATTTTATTTTCTAAAATGTAGCTTCTTAATAATATGTATATATATTGATAAGAAATATTTCACTTATGCTGTACAAGACAGTGCGATTGTTCACTGTAATCCTGTCGGTGTTGAAGCGCATTTACAACGGAGGCGTTAGCTGATGATTGACAATACAACGAGCCAATGAAAATACAGAAGTGGATCCTCTACCACGCCTTAATAGAAAACTCACCAATGACCGAACAGATTGGGCGGACTCTCTGGTAAAAGCCCTGTACGGCTCAGATCCCAGAACAGTTTTGTGTTTTCACATCCACCCGTTAACGTCATTTCTATATCAACAAACCGTTTCCAAGTCAGCGCCTTAACAGAACACTTTATCTGTCTCGGAGAGTGGCACGGCTGAGGCGTAACATTTTGAAAGGTTGTGTTCAGCACATAGTAAGCGGGGATGAGTTAAGTAGGTTTAAAGGAACAACGCGGTTTCCAAAGTGGAGAATAACAGAACAGATACGTTTTGTTTTCGAAGGAACCATTGGAGTACAGTGTGACCGGCAAAGAACCATTCAACTCCGACCTCCGATGCAAAGTGAGTAACCAACACATTTTATCCAGCTAAAAACTTGTTATGCGGATGAAAACAAAAATACAGTGGTGATGTTATTGGCATGATAAATTGAGAAATATCTTTATGGCTCATGGGGAAGGCATAACGTAAACCCTAATACAAGCACTCACCTAATCACAGAGCACTTGTGAGTGGTACTTGTGGCTAATAAAGCAGCGAACTTGTGTTATAGCTAAGCTAGGTGCATGATATTAAAGTATCACTGCAGCCTACCCATTGGCATACATGCTAAAACAGTTTTTTACTTAACAGAAAACCTAACCCCAATAGTGCACGTCCAAATGTGCGACTCTTCACTGATAGGACTTTTTATACTATGAATTTCAATGGAATTTCACCTGACTTTGGGAATGTTTCCGAGGGAAAGTGAATGTAGCTTTAATATAGGGCTAACGCATGTTACGCAGTTTACAGAAGCTATTTTTACCGCGCGATTTAGCCGAGAAAACAAGAGGAAATGCTAGTCTGCGTGTGGTAACAGATACTCAAACCATTATGACCACATTTCCTCGTGTCAGAACTCTCAACTTCCACAAAACCCACACACACCCACGCCCTAAACGCACGGAGTTACTCCTCCAGGAAGTAGTGTGTCGTGTATCATGGCCAGAGGGAATACAGAGCCCTTGTGCTCCTGCGAATTCAAGTGTGTTGACACGGAGCTTGTCACTGGCTGACAGCGCCGAGCCCCTGTGCTGGCAGCCCACCGAGAGACTCAGCACTTGGCCAGCTTCCATCATATCCAGCCATTAGTTTATTTAAATGTGTATTGTAATGATAGGGGACACCATGTGTTTTGGTCTGACACCATTCTCTCATAACCATAATTGCTTGAGGGTAGCCTACGCCATGATATGAATGAGCTCTTGTCAAATTTTGTAAGACACTAGTGTATCTTTAATTTAATATAAACATGTCTAATTAAACTAGCAATATATCAATATTATATTCATAACACATTAGATTGTGGATGTGGTAATATCTTAATTGTAGTTTATTCCTGGGTTTGCCTCTAAATACATCTGCATTACAAATGATTATTTACAAAAATCTTATTGTGTAAATATTTGGTAAAAGCCTCAATGGTCAACAAAAAAATGTTTGTTAGCACACTGATATTAATGCCACAAATACTGTGATACTTGAATTTCTTCATATTGCCCAGCCCTCTCTTGAAAATAGTAATGCCATTTTTTGTGCATTGAGTCATTTGTTTTTTCGCCAGAGTTTGCAAAAATTGCCATACTTGGTTTTGTAGGCGCTGGGAAATATGTTTTGTATCTACGGCTCTATGCTTAGAAAAGCATTTTTACAGCTTGAATGAATAAACCAAAAACTGCAGAGTTGCATCCATTGTAACTCGGCATATTGCTTCCAAAACATTCCATTTAAACCTTATCTAATAGTGTGTGTACCTCACTGCTTGCCAGATATAATCTCTGCCTCATGTCCTATTCTTTCTAACCAGTCACTTGTTGTCTTTCCTCCACTGTCATGGTGCTCTGGCTGCGAGAAAAAGAGGAGGACATGGACAACGGCTTTCCTTGGCTTGTATTTGAATGCCCCTGAGGGTACTCTCTGGAGAGCTGACATTTCTCTGTGTAAACTCCGAAGCCTCAATGGCTTGTCTGCAGTTTTGGCAAGCACCTCTGCTCTCACTGGAAGTAGCCTAGTTCTTCTTTTAAATCGTGTCTAGAAAAAAAATTGGGGGGCCTTTAGTCTGTATTCCAGCTGTGCAGGGGGACTCTCCCTGGAGACTTTGTATATTAGCATTTCAGTCCAGTTCATCGCTTTTACTGTTAGTAAGGTCAACAGTTAAGCATCATGACAGGTGTGTTATGGCTTACTTTTGCCCTTTTCTACACAGCAAATACACAAACACAGAAGTGATATATATAACTGTCAACTTTCACCACCTTGAGAATGTCTTGGCAGGCCTGTGTGAGGGTATGTGACATGAAAATAGATGCATGTTTCTCAATTTTTGTGCTCACAATGCCCGAGTGTGTTTTTCTGGAGCATAGGCAGCTGAGGTCAGGGTGGGGTCGGATGCAGCGGCTCAGACGAAAAGCCAGAGTACGAGGCTTTGCTCTGTGTTGGTTGTCTGAACAGGTGTCTCCAAGCTGCAGTTCTGCATAGCTCACATTCCCAGGGTTTTGTTCCTGGCGTGGAGGGTCACCGAGTAGGGGGAGGGAGGTCTGGGAACTGAGAATGCTAGCGCGCAACACTAAGAATTCATCCGAGCAACCTGCTGATTGAGACAAACGCTTCCTGTCATTACAACAGCGCAGCTTGTGTTGATGAGAAACCTGTCAGCAGCCCATTGCGCTGTTGGAGAGGGACAAAGCCCAAAGTTGGCTTCCATAACTGCTTGTCAGCAGCAAGGCTATATTTTCTTGGGGCTTAAGGGTGGATAGGATATAGTGGTTTAAAACCCTTAATCCGAGCATTAGTTTAGATCACTATCAGCTCACTCAGGACAGAACATTGCCTTTGTCTGATAGAAATGTTGTCTTTTCCAACTTCAATGTACATTACATTGACACACATGCCACACTAAATACATATTTATTTTAAGCAATGGCTCTTGCCTGAAATACAGCATTTTCAAGTTTATTTTTCTGCATGAAAGTAGTCATTCTGGTACCCTGATAAAGCAAGTGTAGAGGAGCCAGATCATTTTAAATATAGGTTGTGAGTTAGTTTTGGCCTCCCTTAACAGTGCCTCTGCTTGAGTGGTTTGTCAGTTCAAAGATCTCTGAACACTGCTTCCTGACACAATGAACCTACTTCACCACCAGCCATTGCTAAACTTAGCATCATATGAAATATGTATACAAGTATGTTGTTGTAGTAGCTTTATCCAGTTATAAAGTCTGGAACCACTCTGGTCAAAACACCTGGAGCTGTGTTTCTGTCGATCCCAGCACAGCAGCACCACTTGAAAGAAACAGAGGAACCTCTGCACCTAAAGGCACAGTTGCGCTATCTTGATGAAGTCAAAAAAATAAGTAAATGTTTTCGATTAAAAACAGTTGTTTGCATCCTAAAATGGATGGGTTTGTGAAGGATTTCCTGCTACGGGCTAGTGAAGATTTTCCCTGATCAAGCTGTTTTTAACGTCACCATTTGGAATTGCCTTGGTACTAAAAAGTACTAAGCCCTTTCCCTAATGGAAAACCAAAAAGAGCAAGTGGAGTAGAGCCCTACCATGCATGGAAATGCCCCATTTCTGGTTTGGTTTGTCGCATTATTGCAACTCATCATTATGGTTATGTTGAATTGAGCAGTGAAGGACATCTAACCATCCCCACTGACACTCAGGGCGTCAGATCTGTCTTTTATCCATTTGCACGTTTAATTTTTGTATTCTTTATTCATCTATCCTCTTAATGCACACTCACAGACATCCTTCTCGAAGGTATCACTAATCTCAGTTGCGAGTCCGCTGTGGACTTGTGAGCTTCCTGCTGCTCTGCTGATCCCAGGCGGAGATTAAAGCGATGTACTTGGCAGGGTCTGTGGCAGGGTCACAGATGATGAGCATCACCAGTAGTGCTGCTGTGTTGTTTTGCCCCTGCTCGCCCTACAGAGGTGTAGGGTTTCTGTCAGCACCCCCTAAGCTTCTGCTGTGCTGTGCTGCCCTGGAATGAGCCCACCCAGCAAATGGCAGCCATCAGACACCTGCGTCGTATTCCAGCTCCAAAGCTGTGCTCTCGCCATGCATTAATAAAAGTAATGCGTGTGGGAAAGCAAGTAAGGCTGTGAACCCTCAGGGAGAAGGTTAAAGCCGTAATGTGTTACTGTATACAGTGTTTCCCCTAGGTTTACTGCTTTGGGGGGGTGCTGCCTGAGCGGGGGGGATATATTTAAAAAAAATCTCTGGAGCAGAGAGAGGAGCTGTGGATTATTGTTATTGATTAATGCATCAGTGTTTCTTAGGGTCAAAAACACTAAACTCACAACTTAAATTGAAAGCGTTTAGTTTATTTAATAAAAGAGCACATGTTCAATGTGAAAAGTGACAGTAGATATAGTTTAGTTGCAATTTGGTGCTATATATATATATATATATATAAAAAAAAAAAATTAATAAAAGAAAAAAAGAAAATTATAATTTTTTTTTTTTTTTTTTTTTAAACACCTTGAATTTCAGGGGGGGCGTGGGGCTCCGTTGGCGGGGCGCAGCGCCCCTCCAAGACAATGGTAGGGGAAACACTGGTATATATATATGTAGGGATGGGTATCGTTAAGGTTTTAACGGTACTACTACTTTTATCGATACCGCTTATCGGTCCGGTCTTTTAACGGTACTCTTATCGGTTCTTTTGGAGAGAAAAATTAGGTAAACTAACTATATGTTGTATGTCAGGGACTACGGATGGAAATTAGCTCAAAGCTAAAATCCGGCATATTTACACTTGAAGCATTATTTGTCTAAAGTGTTCATTAATGTGCATTGTCCCTATTCAAATAAACAATTAAATGAAAATTAACAAATTGTGAACAAAACTAACATTGCTTTTTATTTAAATGAAATACATAATATTTCACATCAACAGAAACAACAACGTTTTAACAAATCATATTAAATAATCTGATGACAGAACTGTGAACAGAATGGCTGAAACTTTAACAAACTAAATAACTCAGTTCCCTCTAATCATTAACCCATGTTTGAATCATTGAGTTAGCTCCGTGTGTTGCTGCTAGCATACATAATATACCTGACGTCGAAACGTTACTCGTGGATGGGGCTACAGAGCTACTAGAGAGACAGTCGAACCCGGTGCATTTCTCCGTCTGAACGTGGTGCACTTTTGCAAGATGTTTAGACAAATTGCTCGTGTTACCGCCCTGACATGCTAAACTCTTATTGCACTTTAGGCAACGAGCGAGACGGGTAAAGTTTAACCACACCTCGGAGCGCGTTCTCTCCGCCATCTCCTCCGTGTGTGTGT